GAAGTGCGCGACGTGTTTGACGTCAACCACGGTCGGCACGTGGCGTGCGGGCGCATAGCAGTTCCACCGCACGCCCTCGAGTGGCAACCGCTGAGCGCGGGAGGGCAACCAACATGCGGGCGAACTGTGTCACAGATCACACACGCGCCTTGTCCTACGTGGCACAGAAAATCGACCAGATTCTGCTAAGATTCATGCATAAAGTACTGGACGGTGATGGATGCGTGTGGTCGAGATGGTGAACGCCCACACGTGTGGGCGTTAACATTTCCGTTTTTTATAGATATTCCATCCTCTCTTTTTTGTGAAAGATAGATATTCCATCTTTGATAGATGTACGTGACAGACTTGATATAATTTGATCAGTGTGGACGAACATGATGTCTTGTTTGTCTTTTGTCTTACTATCACATATGCCCGTGCATTGCAACGGGAAAAATTGATGTTTTGTCCGAGCATAATATCCCACAGCACCAGATTCACCATGAAAAAAATATGCTGCAATGCAACATCCTTCTACAAAATAAACATAAAAAACTATGATGCAATTTAGTCATGTTCATATTTTCTTCGCCGGGCATAATCTCCCACTGATTCCATTTAAGTATAATTCTTCCTTTAATTACAATGACATCCTCACCAGTTTTAGTCGGAATCAAATCCTTCCTTTTCTAATTTAGTAGTCCCAAGACATTGAAGCCAACAGATCCTTCCCTCCAATTATCCTACCTTTTTACCTCAAATCCTTCCTTTAATTAGCCTCATCTATTTGAATATTTTATTTATTAAGATCACAATCTTTCTTTTAATTATTCCACCGGTTTATCCATAATCCTTTCTTTAATTAGCCACATATGTTTAAATATTCTATTTAAGCCCACAATCCTTCTTTAATTAGCTCATTCACTTAATTAGCTCGCCCTAGACATAAGGACCGCCATTTGTATATTTGAAGCGAGTTGGGATTAGTAAATGTGAAAGACACTTAGGTTGTTGGTTGTTACGTCGAAGCCAAAACAGGAGGTCATGTGTTCAATTCCCACAATGTTGATTTATATCGACCCAATATTTTTCACGGTCTCTATGGAGGCCTATAAAAGACGTTCAAGCTGATGGAGGAGAGCATGAGACGCTCCTCCTCCAGGAAGGGAACGGGAACATGATCGAGGCCAGGTTGTTGTGAGCCACAGGAGAGAAAAAACGGCAATTAGGAAACGTTGTCACAACTCTGTATTGTAATTCATTCTTTAGTTTAGAAGAGGAAGAAGACTGATTGATCCCTTTGTCACTAGTAGAAAAATGACCTAATGTTCAGTCCTTTAGTTCCGGTTTGTAAATTAACCGATACTAATGATTTGTAAATTAACCGGCACTAATGTGATCATTAGTGTTGGTTCAAATGGCTATGCATTACTCCCGATTCGTGTTGAACCTTTAGTACCGGTTCGTAGCATGAACCGGTACTAAAGGGGTGATGACATGCTGGCGTCAGGTCGGGGCCCCACAAGCCCCTTTAGTCCCGGTTTGTGACACGAACCGGGACTAAAGGTCTAACCTATAGTGCTGGTTTGTGTCACTGACTGAGACAAAATGGGTCTAATCTTTGGTCCCGGTTGGAGACACAAACCGGGACTAAAGGGCAATTTTCAAACTCTACCCCCTATATCGCCATTTCAGTTTTGTAAAAAACAAAAGAAAATGATAAAAAATTTAAAAATTAAAATCCTTCAAGATGTAGTTATGTTACCGCATCTACTAGTTAGAAAAATTAAAAAACTTAAATTTGGACATGTTTTGCAAAAAAGTGTTATCAAAAAGTAAAACGGCCATATCTTTTGCATACGATGTCGAAAATAAAATGTATAATATATCAAAAAAATCAGCACGAAAATCCGCATCCGATTTTGACCGCCTAGGGCTTGTATGTAAATTTTTAGAATCCTCAAATTCTAAAAGGAAAAAAAAGATATGCTCAAATTTCCTTTTTCTATTTTTCGTTAAATCTGGTGAAATTATGATCAAACTACGGTCAAACTAATTATTCAAAAATATTAGTGTTAATAAATAATTATTTTAGTTTTTTTGACTTTTGGTCAAACTGTGGTCAAACTACTTATTTAAGAAATATTTCTGTTATTAAATAATAATTATTTTTTAGAATAATAGACTCAAACTCAAACGGTGAAACATGTGACTTCATACTCAAGCTAAATTCCAGAGGGTTAATAGGATTGACAGCTTACTATTGTCAGGTGAACAACAAGTGCAGACTTGGAAACTAGGGGGATTGAAAAAAAATCCTTTAGTAACGGTTGGTGTTACCAACCGGTACTAAAGGTCCCCCAGACCATCGCGCGGGCTCGTGCCACGTGGTGGGCCTTTGGCCCCGGTTCGTGTTGAACTGAGACTAAACACTAGTAGAAAAATGACTTTTAGTACCGGTTCGTAAGGACCTTTAGTACCGGTTCTGGAACCGGTACTAAAGAGTGGGGACTAAAGGTCCCCCCCCCCTTTAGTACCGGTTCAACACGAACCGGGACCAAAGGCCCACCACGTGGCACGAGGCGCGCCGTGGTCTGGGGGACCTTTAGTCCCGGTTGGTAAGGATTTTTTCTATTTTTATTTTTGAAATAAAGCAAAAACAGCCCGCCTACTGGGCCGGCACCGCCTGCATACGACTAGAAACCCAATCTCTAGTTGGGCCAGGATGCAGGCCCGTATGGCCCAGTAGGCCCCACAGGGCAGAAGACTTGCAATAGGCCCACAAAGGCCTGCTTAGAGAGGAGCTCGACACGGTAGCCGCGGCGGGGCTTATAAACCGGTGCGAGCTCCTCTCAACTAGCGAGGTGAGACTAAACATTATGCACTGCGGGTGGCAGCGCACCACCTTTAATACCGGTTGGTGGCTCCAACCGGTACTAAAGGGGGGGTCTTTAGTACCGGTTGGAGCCACCAACCCATACTAAAGGCCACCACCTTTATTACCGGTTGGTGGTTCCAACCAGTACTAAAGACCCCCCTTTAGTACCAGTTGGAGACACCAACCCGTAGTAAAGGCCACCACCTCTTTAATACCGGTTCGTGGCACAAACCGGTACTAAAGGTTCGCCACGAACCGGTACTAATGAGCGCCGCCCGCCTGACCATTGAAACCGGCACTAATGGTCACGTTAGTACCGGTTCAATTGTAAACCGAGATTAATGAGTTTCACATTAGACCCTTTTTCTACTAGTGAAAGGGGGGTATCTTTAGTCCCCATCCTTTAGTGCCGGTTATAGAACCGGGACTAAAGGTCCTTACAAACCTGTACAACGGGGCGTTTTTCTACTAGTGTGTGCTTTCACAGGCCAGGAAAGAAATCTGATGACATTGTAGTATGCAAAGTTTGGATCTGTGTTTTTGCCCCCTACTTGGCCAGAAAATACTTTTGCAGATTTTGCAGTTTGGATCACACTCATTGCTTCATGGCAATTTTGGATGACACTCACTCTTTGTTTCATGGTGGCATACTCGCATAGATCACTCTCAGCATTTGTTCTAATACGTTGTTGAAGCTCGGCGCTGGACATGATAGATTACATCTACATCAGTGAACATATGGAAATACACTGACAACCACATCAATTAAGCTTTTTGTAGCCTGCACGATTAATATTAATTACAAAATACGTACTGCATATCAATGATCTCAAGAAAAGACCCCCTCCCCCTCGCGCCGCCTGCCCCTGGACGACGCCAGGGGCCCCGAAACCCTAGCTCCGCCAGCACCCTCTAGCGCCTCCTTCTGCCACTGGCGTGGGCCACGGTGGCGGTGGGCCCAGTGCCGAAGGCACCTGGGCGGGTGGACGCGGTGGATCTCATTTGAGGCGGCAGGGGCGACTCCTCTCGTGCGATCCGAAGGCGGCCCTGAATGGACGTCGACGGTGGCACGCCCCATCTGGCGGGGTGGGCTGTTCTGGTCGGGATGGTGACGACGGTGACTGCGGATCCACCGCTCCGATCGGATCCGCTGCGGGGAGGCCTTCCACCGACTGGCGGCGTGTGGAGGGGCCGGCGAGGAGATGTCGGATCTCTGCAGGAGTACCGACAACGACGTACGTCTTCGTGGCGAAGTTCCGCTCGGTTCCAGCCAGCCGCGAGGTCGTGAAGACGTGGCTTCCGAAGAAAATCGAGCCTGACTGTGGTCTTGGTGGACGATGGCGGCGTCTCGGATGTTGTTCCCTTCTCGAGGCATCATTGTTGCAGGTCACGCCAACCTAATCGGGAAGTTTCGGGGGAAACCCTAGATCTGGGTCTACCGGATCAGACGATGACGGTGCCTTCGGTGTCATTCTCCCTCCTGGGGGCATCATTTTGGAGCAACTGCTAGTTGGAGGGGACAAGAGGGAGGAGTGGTGTTTCATCTTGCCCAGTGATGACGGCGGATCTCGGCGGCGTGGAGGAGTGGAGACTCGGTGCCCGATTAGCGGAGATGGACACGCGCAGGAGGGTGACACTGTCTGGCGTCGTGGTGGCGTCGGCGGTAGCTAGACCGGGCAACGTAAATGCAGTAGTACAACTCTGAAGATGGATTCATGGCAGGTGGCTGCAGCGGCCTCATACCCGGCAGGCATCGTGGTTGAGGAGCACGCCAGACTGGTGGGTACCCATACCCGGCAGGCATCTTGGTTGGGACCTCAAGTCTTAGATGTTAGGTTTGGCTGCGAGGTCTGTTTGGTATTAGGCCTAGACTATCAGCGCCCATTCGTCAACGTAGCGACAGATGTTCCTTAGACGGTGGCTTTAGTCTTACTGTTGTATGACTTTGTAAGGTCTTGTATCAATAATTAATAAAATGAATGTATGCATCGTCTAGATGCAGAGGCCGGGGGTCTTCCTCCTTTTCTTAAAAAAAACATACTGCGTATCAATAAACAGATGATTATAGGCACGACAGCACTAGCAAGCATGAAACGCTTGATTAAGTTAAGAGGTGACATGAATTAATTCTAAGTACAAACTAGAAAAAAAAATATAATGAAGCAGAGATTAGCCGCAGCATGTATATAATTGTTGACATCAAAGTTTCGTGTCGTCAATGATGATGTCGGCGGCAGGATGATGTGGCTTAAATGCTCCCTCCAACAGCTGCCTCACATATGTCCTGTGTAGTTGTGTAGAAGTGTCCCAATTGCAGCATTCGAAGGCCACATGTAAACTGATTTGTTTAAGGGTGCCACTTGGCAAGTGCTGGATGCCAACTGGTAGGAACTGAGGAGCCATGTGGTGACGGAACCATATGTCAAGCTGCTCTAGCTTGGGCATAGCCCCCTCCTCAAAGGTCAGTGACGCCATTGAACAGTCGAAAATCATGCGCTTGAGTGCTCTGAATGCCCCGCTGACAGTGCCACTGCCAGGGATGACTACACTTTCTTCCTTTTCTTCTTCACCCATACCATAAGTACTCAAATGGAAGTAGGCAAGTGAAGGCAACTGTGCAACAATACTGACACCATCAGCCACCTCCCTCACACTAATACAAAATTTGTAGAGGCCGTGGAGCTGACCAATCCACTCGGGGCACCTTTCAAACATGCAGGCCCACAGATCGAGCTCCTGAATATGAGAGCCCCGAGGCAATGGTGTTCTGGTAATCCAGCCTGGGACATCTGGTATGTAAACCAATCCTCCTTTGAAATTAAAGGCCCTGAGGTTGGCGGAAAGCTTGCAGATGGAAGAGTACAAGGCATCCATGGTGGTCTCATGCACAAATTGACTCGGATTCGAACACACCTGAAGTTTTCTCAATTTGGTCAGCTTGCTGAGCCCCTTGATATTCTCTACCGAGCTTCTATACAAACATACACCTTCTAGGGTGCGCAAGGATTTCAACCTGTCGATCCCGTCCGGCAACACTAATATCCTCAAGCGGAGATGCGATAACCATGGCAAACTGACAATATCTGATGGGAGATTTTCCTGTGTAGCTCCAGCTATGTCTATCGTCTCCAATTGCTGTAGCTCCCCAATTTGATTAGGTAGCTTCAACTCATAGGTTTGATAACATGGACTGCATGCTACCTTTAAATACCTTAGGAGAAACAACCTACTGATACCGGTGAGGTCTAGGTGATTGTTCCGGCAAGAATAATTATGATGTTCAATGTGTAGCACTCGGACATACTTGAACTCCAGAAAATATGGCATAAGTGAGCTCCGGCAAAATAAGACGGACCGAACATGTGATAGTGACCCTTTGTTGATTGTTTTCGAAGTTCTCGTATCCTCTTCATCATTGTACTGGACCGAGACTCGGCGGATCTCCCCTGTCTCATCTTTCGAACCATCAATTACATGAATAAAGTTCTCTTTACTTGACTTGGATCTCATCAAATCAAGAATTATATCATGTACTTTGCAAGACAACACTTCATTGCTGTAGTCATCTGTCTTCCCAGGTTGGATCATACACATGCTCATAAGCTCTTTTGAAGTACTTTTCTGCAACATCCTCTGCATCCAGCCCACTGTTTCTACTCACGTGCACGAAACCTTCGGCTACCCATTTCTTCAACAAATCATCTTTATCTATCTCCCAATCCTCTGGATACATACAAACATGAAGCAGGCATGTCTTAAGATGATCGGGAAGATGTATGTAGCTAAGATCCAATATTTGCCTCATCTTTTCAAGATCATCACTTTCAGTCACAGCACCCAAAGATTTCCATATATACTCCCAGGTTGACTCTTCCTCAGTAGCTAGAAGGCTTGCTATACTGTTAATAGCAAGTGGCATACCACCACACTTCCTCAGAATATATTTTGAAATCTCTTCTTTTCTGGGTGTATCAAGGCAATCTTTTTGGGGACCAAGTATTCTTCTGAAAAATAGTCTTCTCGAGTCTTCTTCACTTAGCGATTTCATCCTATAAACATACTTGCTTTCATGCTCGCAACAGACACGAACAACACGTTCAATCCTTGTTGTTGTTATCACTCTACTGCCATGGTTGTTTCTTGGAAAAGCAGATGTAATACTACCCCATGCTTCCGGATCCCATATATCATCAATTACTATGAAGTATCTACAAAAAATGCCACACAAGTAAGAAACAAAGTAGTAGTGAAATCTTAGTAAACTTATCAGAGGGTCAACTATAGTTTCATATATATCTATGTAAAGCACACCCATTACATGTGGATTAGTGGATGGCACAGCCATATATGCATGCAAATTAGGACAAAGTAAAAGGGCATGTCAAGTAATCAAGAAAATATTGAGTTTGAATTCTTCAATTAATGTAGGTTGCTTATGTACCCTCATCACCATGGGCTTATTTTGTGTGGGGGTGGGGAGGAGGGGATGTGCACCTCTTATCTTGGAGAAAATCTTCGAGTTTGTCTTTGAGCTGCCACACTTCCAAGTTTGAAGCATTGAAGTTGTTTCCAACTGCAATGAGAATGTTCATCAAAACTTTCTTCACATCGGGATTCTGGCCCACCGGAACAAAAGCTTTAGAATTGTATTGTGCCTTGAGCTTGTCATACACTGTCTTGGCAAGTGTGGTCTTGCCCAGTCCTCCCAATCCGATGATGGAGGCTATTATGAGCTCTTGCTTTGATACATTGCCATCCTCCTCAAACATCCTTATTATCTCATTTGTTCGTCTTTCGATGCCAATGAGTTGTTCTTTATTTATGTATATAGACATCCGAGGGCCAATGGGAACCAAGGCAGTTGCATTAGCTACAACATTGTTGACATTGAAGTTGTACTTCTGTTGCCTATCAACCACGGCCTGAACTTGGTTCTTGATGTCTTTGATCACATCACCAATCTGATGATGAGTCGTCATGTCATTCTCCAAGAACTTTAGCCCCTCATGCGGGAGCTCCTTAAAGCCATTCCCATTGGAGTCAGGCTCAATGCGCACCACGAAGCTGTCAACCATATCCTCAATGTTATATGACAGCTCCCTGACTTCGTCAACCCAAATATCTACCCCATCAAGTTTTTTCAGATTGGGGAGGTCTTTGTGGATCTTTGCCAGGTTTTCTGAGAAAGACTCAATATCTCTCTTCATGCTCCTGTCCAGATTATAGTTCTCCTTAACGAGCTTGCCCAGCTTGTCGAGCACACTGCCCATAGCCCCCCTTGTGACATCCATGGCTCGGCTCCTTTTCCCTAGGTATGTTGTGTTGGTAGGATAATGGTGTGAAAAGCTCTGTGGTGGGTAGAATTTACACTGCTCTATTTGCTCGGTACAGTGTCCTTGCGTGCTTAAATCGATGTCCTTATAAGCAGACCCAACAGTCTTTCTCTTTTTCGCCTGTGAGCATAGAAATTAATTTGTCAAGAAACAATCCAGGAGGAAGAAACATAAGACACATATAAACGCTTTAAGCCGGGTCACAATTGATCACCTCGGGGACTTCCTCGGCTGACATGTTCGTGTCTTCTCTACTCTTGCAGTTTTCTTGGGGCTTCGTAGGCTCATATACAACCATCAAATTCACCTCATCAACCACTTTACCTGCCCCTTCATGGAATACATGCTCAGTGATATCCTTGACGCTAAGACCCTCACTCACTTTTGTGCTCTTCACGATGAACTTGTCAGCATTTTGTGTAACTTGCGATGCCCATTCCTGTGGCTGCACTGTTATCTGAACAAGATACTCGTTGCATTCTGGAGGCACAATGCCTTTGTCTGGCCGTATGGTGTACTCCTTGCTTGGTCTTTCAATGTTGAAGGCAAAACATGCCATTGTCTTGTTGGTTAGCTTAACTGAGCATGACATCTCCTTGTGAAGCTTAAAAGTAAAATGTAGCTCGAGCGGCTCAATACCAAGCATGACATCGTACAGATAAGTGCTTTCCTGTGAGTCAAGAGCTAGATGTGTTATCGTAATGTACGCCTTTTTTTTCCAGAAAGTATATATAATTTAGGTTACTAGGATAGTTGTCAAACACAAATTTGGGATTATGCTGACCTAGCAGGGTTAGGATTAGCTAAACAAAAAGTATTTTAATCTGGAACCAAATTAACACAGCAGGAGAGTTGAATAACTGAACTTCATTAGCTATCTGATCTCAGCTAGAAAGTTATCTCTTTTGATTCCAAATGATACATTCATTTCCACAGTTTTGATTACAAGGTATCTTAAACTAGCTAGTTTACCTGGCCAGTGTGCCCATCCCCATCCGTACTTTCAGATTTCCTCAAAAAGCTGATTATATCACCTGTAGAAGGTCTATATTTTGGTTCTTGTTGCCTGCAGCGTACTGCTATTTCGATGCATCTAGTTACTTGCTGGTATTGTAGTAATGTTGGTGGCTTATTCCACCTATGTCTCCACCTTCGAAGTACCTACATTTAACAAATTGTTAATTATTTGTGATAATCCCAGAATCTTACAGTGCATAGTATGTACATCTCATGGTGTGTATATCTTGCTGTCAATTTGTTAGTTCAATGTCAGAGGTTAGCCTTGCAGTGTGTGTGTCACTTCTCCCCAACAGCGTAAAAGAAACATATTCACCCGTGTGCTATATATGTCCAAAAACATGTTTAAATTACATATACCATTCATATTCAGTAGGATAGTATGCATGTTAAAGTGCAAACAGTTAAAAGATGCAGGCAAAATATTGTTGTCGTTCAAAAGAGTGAGAGGAATATCCCCTTACATTATTTTTGTCAGGGACGCTCATACACCCTGTTACTAATTCAAAAATAATGGCACCCAAACTATATATGTCAGACTTGGCTGAAGTTTTTCCATCTTTCACGTATTCCGGAGCGATATATCCTCTGCAAAAAAAATACGAGTGTGATGCATTATGGCACAAAGTAATTGTAGGATTGTATGACAGAGAAATGTCAATTAACTAGTAGTTCTTCTGACGCATAGCTTACTGTGTTCCAATAGGTTGACCCTTAGTATGTGAGTTTTCATCTGGTCTTGACAAACCAAAATCAGTGATTTTTGGAACCATATATTTGCCATGTAGTAAAATATTTGCCGGTTTAAGGTCCATATGAACAATCTTTTTTTCCTCGTGAAGATAACACAGACCCTCGCAAATTCCGGTGATTATTTCATAACGTGTTTCCCATTTAAGTCCCCTCAATTCATCTGTAGAAGAATGTATACATACATACAAAAGTAAGGAGTTATGTTGGACTACATACTTAGCAATAATAAACTTTTAGTTCAGTCCCTGACTGTGGGTCCGGACTCACTAGTCTAGACAATAAGGTATAGAAGTAAAGAGAAGAGCAATAAGGTCGTACCGGTAATATACTTATCAAGGCTTCCATTGCTGATGTACTCCAAACAGAACAATCTTTCTCTCACGTTGGCCAAGACAGTTTCTTTCAACCCAGCCTTTTCTATGGGTTTCATGTATGTATTAGAACAGAAGCCAAGACACCGGACTACATTTTGATGATTAGTCTTCCACATGCTATTAAACTCACGGCGAAATAGCTTGTCATCAAGATCAATCTTGTGTATGTTAACATAGATCCTCTTCACAGCTACAAACCCGTTTTGCAGTGCACCCTGTTAGTCATCATTTAAAACATGATCAGACCTACAATACCAAAACAGTCGCCAAGTTCTGCTTCTACAGGTGGTTTTTTATTTGGAAGCAAAACAACTGGGGACTTTCCCACTTTTAGTGTTATTAAAAAATTAAAGCATGTAAAAGGGTTAAAAAAAGAAAGAAGAATCGATATTGTCAATCGAACTGTACCTAGTAAACCGCTCCAAATCCACCCTGACCAATTTTTCTCTCTTCGGAGAAATCATTCGTGATGCGCTGTAACAGTGCTAATGACAGATCCTTCGGGTCCTCATCTCCGTTAAGTATACTCTCCAGCACAGCTTCGTCCCCCATTGTAGGTATACGGTGTTGTCTGGAACAAAAGCATGAAAAAGTTAGTTTGCTTGGGACAGACAGGCTTGCAGGAATTGGTAGCAAGGAAATGCGTACCTGCTGGAGATTTAGCCCTGTATGTAGTAGTGTATGAAGCATAAACTGGAACTGCTCCAAGCGATTTCGGCACATTAAAGAAGATGAAAAGATGGTTCTTAAGATATATGCTCTAATTAATGTGTATAGGAAAATGATAACTCAAGAGGCGAGAAGGAGAAGGAATATTCCAGCACAATCAAGACTGCTAGCTCGTAATAAAGATGCTCACCAGACATTTGGACGTATCATGGAACAGGAGCAGAGAGCAAACCAAAACTACATTACTATGCATGCTTCGCCAACCGGTGGCCTGGCTGTTCTGCAATTCTGCGTTGTTGTTGTTGCCGTTGTTGTTGTTGTTTGACAGGACATGTGTTCACTGTGTTTGTGTGTAGAATAAGTGCTGCTTCGCATATTCTAATCGACAAACTGAACAGAGCATTCACGTCTAACATGAAAGCCTTCGGAATCTTGATGAGTTTTTATTGGTGGTTGACACAGGATATGAAAATGCAAACATATAAATTGACGAAAAAGAGTTTCCCCCGCTTTATATATAAAGCAACCATCACCACAACATCGAGCAAGAAGATACAAACGCACACCGACACCGCACTCAACACACACACCCAAGGCGAGATACCACCAGTAGAAAAACGACCTTATGTTCACCTCATTAGTACCGGTTCCAACGGCTAGGCGGGTGGCACTCATTAGTCCCGGTTCGTGTTGAACCTCTAGTACCGGTTCTTGCCACGAACCGGGACTAAAGAGGTGGTTGTAGGCTGGTGCTAGGATGGGCCCCCACCAACACCTTTAGTCCCGGTTCGTGGCACGAACCAGTAATAGAGGCTCACCTTTAGTCCCGGTTTGTATCATGAACCGGGACTAATGATGTTCCTATATAAACCCTTCGTCAGGTCCGAGCTCTCCGTTCTTCCCCTTTCCTCTCCTCTCTATTCTTCCCCTCTTCTCGAGCTCATCCTTCATTTTGCCCAAAATTTGTAAAGATTTGAACGCCTCCCATTCATCCAAGTGATCACAAAGGTTAGCAACTTTATCCTTTCATCTCTCATTACTAGATTAGCTCTTGCAATGCTCTATAAGTATAGTGATTTGTGGGTTTTAGTTTGGGAGTAATTATTATATGTGATTGTTTATTTGATTTTTATGCAATTTGAGCTCAAATTAACTCTTAGTTTGCATATCTAGGTGTGGTTTACTTAGTGTCTTCCCGTCCTAACGACCGCCGATCGCCCGGACCGTCCCGTCGCCGGCACCACCTTGGTGAGCCTCTTGTTCTTATCCTTTTTATACAAAAAAACATGTTTGTGTGATTTAGATATATAGTTACTTGTATAATTTTCTTACTCGTACGTTGTTTGTTATACATAGTGCCATGATTTTGATATCCATCCCCGTCGGCCCTCGTCCGGTTTATGATTCGGATGTGGTATATTCTCTTTTATAACTATGTGTTACATTTCGTGTTTATGACAAACTATGCCCATCAAGTTGATATAGATATTTTTATCTAGGAGGTATGTGAACCGGAAATTCCAACCAACCCTCTTGTCGAGAGGTTAAATTTAGTTGAAAAAGAAAATGAGTATTTGAAAGAAAAATTGAAAATAATTGAAAAAGAGAAGATGAAACTGGAGTTGTATGTTGCCTATGTCGTCGACGATCACAAGATCAAGATGGAGAAAATGCGCTTGAAGATTAGAAAGATTAGAAAATATGCCATTGATAGTGAGGCTTGGTACCATTATGCTGTTGGATCAATTGTTACCTTTAGTTGCGATCTTGATCACATTTGTTGTTGCATTTAAATGCTTTAGCTAGAGAATTTGCATGTTGTTTTATGAGAATAAGTGTGTATGAACTTTATGTATGAACTTGTATTAATTTGGTCTTTTCGATGTTGTGTAATGAAGATGAGACGGAAATGGATGTACGATGACCGAGGATCTCCCCAGTTCGTTAATGGCGTGCGTACTTTTATGCTTGCGGCTGAGGCAAACAAGCGGGCGGATGGTTTAATGTGTTGTTTGTAAGAATAATCGGAATTACTCTAAGTCAAAAACCATTCATGTCCACCTGTTTGAGTCCGGTTTCATGCCCCACTATAATGTTTGGACCAAGCACGGAGAAAGAGGGGTTATGATGGAAGACAATAAAGAAGAAGAGGACGACGACAACTATCCTGGCCATGGGTTCCCTGAATACGATGGTACAACAACGAGGGAAGAAGTTGAGCCGGCAATGCGGGAAGAAGCTGTAGAAGAGGCATCAGATGAGCCTGCTGATGATCTTGGTCGGGCCATTGCTGATGTAAAGAGAAACTGCACAACTGAAAAGGAGATGCTGAAGTTGCAGCGCATGTTAGAGGATCACAAGAAATTGCTGTAGCCAAATTGCGAAGCTGACAAGAAAAAGTTGGGCACCACACTGGAATTGTTGCAATGGAAGACATAGAATGGTGTATCTGACAAGGGATTTGGAAAGTTGCTGATAATGTTAAAGAAGATGATCACACTAGGAGCCTCTCCTGCTGGTTTCAAGGTCAAAAAAAATGTTAAAGAAGATGCTTCCAAAGGACAACAGATTACCCGAGAATATGTATGAAGCAAAGAAGGCGGTTTGCCCTCTAGGATTAGAGGTGCAGAAGATACATGCATGCCGTAATGACTGCATCATCTACCGTGGTGAGGACGAGGATTTGAATGCATGCCCGGTATGTGGTGCATTGCACTATAAGATCAGCCGTGATGACCTTGGTGATGTCGAGGGCGAGCGCCCCAAGAAGATGATTCCTGCCAAGGTGATGTGGTATGCTCCTACAATACCACGGTTGAAACATTGGTTCCAAAACAAAGAGCATGCCAAGTTGATACGATGGCACAGAGAAGACCGTACGAAAGACTGGAAGTTGAGAGTACACGCTGACAGGTCGCAGTGGAGAAAAATTGAGAGGAAGTGGAGGGACTTTGCAGATGACGCAAGGAACATATGGTTTGGTCTAAGCACAGATGACATTAATCCTTTTGGGGAGCAGAGCAGCAATCATAGCACCTGGCCTGTGACTCTATGTGTGTATAACATTCCTCCCTGGTTGTGCATGAAGCGGAAGTACATTATGATGCCAGTGCTCATCCAAGACCATTAGTTGAAGAACTCTTACAACTGTGGAATGAAAAAGGTGTACATGCATGGGATGAGGACCATCGAGAAGAATTTGACCTACATGCGTTGCTGTTTGTGACCATCAATTATTGACCTGCTCTCAGTAACCTTTCAGTACAGACAAACAAGGGATACCGCGCATGCACGCACTGTTTGGATGATACTGACAATATATATTTCAATAATTGTAAGAAGAATGTGTATTTGGGACATCGTTGACTTCTTCCGAGCAGGCATCCCGTAAGAAAGAAAGGCAAGCATTTCAAAGGTGAGGCAGATCACCGGACGAAGCCTCGCCACCGTACTGGTGAATATGTACATGGTACAGTCAAGGATTTAAAGGTAATATTTGGAAAGGATCCTGGCGGACAATCTGTTCCGAATAACACTGACGGACGCGCACCCATGTGGAAGAAAAAATCTATATTTTGGGACCTACCTATTGGAAAGATCTAGAGGTCCGCTCTGCAATCGATGTGATGCACGTGACGAAGATTCTTGTGTGCCCCTGCTTGGCTTCTTGGGCGTGTATGGGAAGACAAAAGATACACCGGAGGCACGGGAGGACCAGCAACGTATGCACGGAAAAGACGACATACATCAGGGTCATGCCAGCTACCCTCTTACCAAAGAAGAGAAGGAAATCTTCTTTGAATGCCTGCTCAGTATGAAGGTCCCGTCTGGCTTTTCGTCGAATATAAAGGGAATAATAAATATGGCAGAGAAAAAGTTCAGGAACCTAAAGTCTCATGACTGTCACGTGATTATGATGCAACTGCTTCCGGTTGCATTTATGGGGCTTCTACCGGAAAACGTTCGATTATCCATTGTGAACCTATGTGCATTCCTCAATGCAGTCTCTCAGAATGTAATCAATCCAGAAATCATACCAAGGTTAGAGAATTATTTGGTGCAATGTCTTGTCAGTTTCGAGTTAGTGTTCCCACCATCCTTCTTCAATATCATGATGCACATGCTAGTTATCCTATGCGAAGAGAATGCCATTCTGGGTCCTGTATTTCTACACAATATGTTCCCATTCGAGAGGTTCATGGGAGTCTTAAATAAATATGTTCATGACCGTGCTAGGCCAGAAGGAAGCATCTTCAAGGGCCATGAAAATGAGGAGGTCATTGAGTTTTGTATTGACTTTATTCCTGACCTTAAGCCGATTGGTGTTCATAAATCGCGGCATAAGGGCAGGCTGGATGGAAATGGCACGCTAGGACCGAATCAAATAATATGTATGGACGGGCATTCTCTCACTCAAGCACACTACACAGTTTTACAAATTTCCGCCTTGGTGGCTCTGTATATCAAGGAACACTAGAATATTCTACGCTTCAAATACCCGGATCAGTCTGACGACTCAATTACACATGAACAAACATGGACTTTCGCTGGTTGGTTGCAGACACGTGCCATGCATGACGACGCTGTTGAAGATGACATGTACTTGCTATCCCAGTTATCATGTTCGAATATAATGACGGTACGAGATAAATGGGAATACATTTTATACGATTGCCCAAGATAAAAAGAGCACCAACCAAAACAGTGGTGTCCGCTTTGATGCAGCAACCAAGAGGAGAAATGACACATATTATTGTTACATAGAGGAGATATAGGAACTTGACTATGGAAGTGA